TGAGCTTGATTCCAGGTGCAGGATTCATGCAAATTCTGTTTGTACATATCTGTCATTTGCAAGAAGCAAAGGTGTTAGAAACACATGCAAATCTTGACTACCTTCTTGCCAGTTCTCGTCTCCCTCAGTGCCTGAATCTATACAATCTATGCTTTTCTTTTTTCTTTCTCCAGGTTTTGAGCAAACTGAGCTATCACTGATTTAATTTTTTTTTTAACTTCTTGTTTTGGAATACAAGAAGTTACAAAGAGAACATAAAGTCCCGTGAACCCATAACCTAGCTTTCTCTAAAGGTTGATGTCTTAAATGACTGGAGTAAAATATCAAAACAGGAAATTGACATTGGTACAATACTGTCAACTAGATTACAGAATATCTGTTTTTTTAAAAGCACAAATATTTTGAAGTCATACAATAATACTTTTGAACATAAATATTATGTCTTGATATTAGGTGAGGAGGTTGACAAGGAGTGAAAATACCCTGAAAGCAGTAGCAATGTGTGATGCTGGATATGAAACACCAACAGGCAGTTTTAAGAGCATGCTCCCAAGCTCAGGGTGTGCCCTAAGGAAAGGAAAGGCATCAGGAAGTGGAGCAGCATGGCCTGGGCAGGGGGAAACGGAAACTTGCTGGAGGTTCAGTGGGACTTCAGTTGCACAGTTTGTGGCTATGCACCCAGAGCTAGGCTGTGGCCATAAAGAAACTGTCCTCACATTCCCTACAACATGTAAGTCTACTTGATTAGAGAAAAGTATATATGACATTTACAGAAAAATTAGCAATTTTTAAGAAATAGATTCTATTTTTTAGAGCAGTTTTAGGTTCACAGAAAAATTGAAATTATAGAGTTCTCACATACCACCTGCCCGCACACATGCATAGCCTCCTTACTATTAACATTATTTTTTTAAAGGATACATTTTTTTTAAGGGTGAACCTATACTGACACATCATCATCACCCAAAGTCCATAGTTTTCATTAGCGTTACTCTTGTCATTGTACATTCTATGGGTTTGGACAAATGTATAATTAGTAGTTTCATTGCCCTAAAAATCCTCTGTGCTCCACTTATTCATCCCTCCTTCCTCCTTAAATCCCTGGCATTCACTAATCTTTTTATTATCTCCATGGTTTCGCCTTTTGTAGAATGTCTTAGAGTTGGAATCATATAGAGTATGGAACCTTGTTTGTTTATTTTCTTAATCCTCACCTGAGGATATTTTTTCCATTAATTTTTAGAGAGAGTGGAGGGGAAGAAGAGGGCGGGGAGAGAGAGAGGTTGATCAGTTGTCTTCTAGGGAGAAAGGGGGAGGAACCTGAAACCCAGGTATGTGCCCTGACCAAGAATCAAAATGGCAGCTTTTTGGTGCACAGGAGGACGCTCAGCCAACTGAGCCACTAGCCAGTCTCATCGTGCAGATTTTGAATTGGGTTTTCAATCTGCCAATGTGGCACTGTATGGATGCCTGTGTCTGTTCCCATTCATGTATGAAGAACAAACATTTAAAAAAAGTTGCCCCTCTCCCCTGTCTTTGGATGGGTGGTGAGGTGAGGGTTTATTTTGGTCTTTTGTTTGGTGTCTCACTGCAGTCTCTTAGACATAGGATGGTTCATGGGAGCAAATGGTTCCTGCCAAAGAGCTCAACTGTTCTGAGTGAGATGGGCTGGATCAGTGTGGTCTTCCCCTTCCGGACTCCACTCAGCACCCTGGGGTTAGGCGGTGTGCATCACGAGTCCTCTGGGGAAACTTGTCTGTGGCAAACTGGCTGCGTTTCTCAACCTTTGATCTAGTTCCTTAACCCCTCTAATCTCTAAACTTCCCTTTACTCTCTTTAAAACATTACTGGATTATCTAGCCTTAATAATGCTATGGATCATAGAATCTCACCCCCCCCCCCCCTACTTGGAGCTGTCCTGTCTTTAAAAATGTTGTTGGTTTTTTCCTGTATTAAAGATATTTTTACACTGTCTGCAGCCTTTTTTGAAGGAATGAGTTTCCACCCACCAGCTTGGAGACCAGAAACTTAATAAAAAGCTCTAGAAGATGGTGAAGATGGGGCCATCAGCAGAACTAGGGGAAGAGTCACATAGATGTCTAAACCATAAACTCTGAACCAGTACATTCAGTTGCACTTGGGTTGTTTATTTTTATTTATTTATTTAAATCCTCATCTGAGGATGTTTTACTGACTTTAGAGAGTGGGTAAGGGAGAGAGGGGTGGGGGAGAGAGAGAACCATTGATGTATGAGAGAGGCAACCATTGGTTGCCTCCCATATGTGCCGGACCCTGCCCCTACCGGGTATCTGCCCATCACCTAGGTAAGTGCCCTGAGAGGGGAATGGAACCACCTATGTACGTGCCCTGAGGAGGGAATGGAACCACCTACGTATGTACCCTGAATGTGGAATGGAACCGGCAACCTTTCGGTGCCCAGGACTATGCTCCTACCAACTGAGCTACACCTGCCAGGGCTGGGTTGTTTATAAACGGTTTTGCAGTGAAGTGATTTTAGATCCCATAGGGTGCAACACTAGTTTACTTGAGGGCTGCAAGGGTGGCACCAATTCAAGCTGCCCCCTTTAAAGTTTAATTCAGCCTTGTGGGAGGGGGATTAAGTGACCTTCCATTTGCCTGATCTCCATCAGGTGCAGGAAGTGAAGAACTCAGTCTTTGCTGGGGCAGCAATGACTGCCTATGGCGTTACTGATACACAGGCAGGGACAGTGCGTGCGGGGTCCGCATGGCGAGTGCGAATGCTTGAACTGGGATCTCCGAGTCATGTGTACTGCCTCGTGCCCTCAGAGCCGGACCCTGGACAGACACGTTATCAGATCAGGAGATTAAAGACGCGCCTCCAAGTTTTGGACCTCTCACTGCCTAAGCGGAATCCCACCACAGTTTGCAAACTTAGAGGGTGGAAGAATGCCGCCTCGTCTCCTTGCCCTATTGTGTGTGTGTGTGTGTGTGTGTGTGTGTGTGTGTGTGTGGAAAATCCAGTGGGAAAATAGCAGGCATGCAGGTACACTGGTTCTTCCTGGGCAGGCATCCAGGGGTGCAGCCGCCATCACAGGCACAGCCGGCCCCCCTTCCTGATTCTATGAAACCCCGGGCAGCAATCCCGCCCCCTCCCCCCTCCCCTCCCCTGCCGAGGAGCGGGCGCTTTGCTTGTGAATGCTTTTCTCTTTGATCAGCGCACTCCTATTTCAAGAGTGGAGTGGGACTCTCCCTGGGGCGTTATAGGGTGTCAAATATGGCATTTGCTCCTAGCCGAGCACCGAAACCGACAGTCAGCAGAGCTGTTGAAGGGAGAGCAGAGATTCCGGGGAGGGCTGGGCTCAAACGGGGCTTGAGGAGGGTGGTCGAGGGCCCCTGCCCAGTGGGGATCGCTCAGCGCCCCCGGCCTGTGGGCGGGCCGGAGTGCAGGGAAGATGAGAGGCCCGGGTGGGGCGGTGCAGGAACAGCTGTGCTGGCCGCCGCAGGAGAGCGGGCACCGTCCCAGCGGAGCCATGTGGGACGTGAGCGACGTGTGGCGGCAGCCTCAGCTCAGCCTATTCTGCTGCAGTGTGTGTTTCAGGGAGCGCCGCCTACTTCCTTGCAATCGCAGCCCAGCCTCAGCTTGAGGTACGCACCTATAGGCGAGGCCGGGCAGCGCTTCTGTGCTGATGCATCGCGCACATCCACGTAACGCCATTGTGCCGGTGTCAGTCCCCGCGATACTTTTTTTTTTTAATTGACTAAAGTTTATATATGTCTTCTGTTTCCCCAATTGACTCTTCCCCCCCCCCCCCCCCCCAGCCATTCCCACCCTGGGCAAGCCCCGACCGCTCCAGTGCCTGTCCATTGGATATGCTAATATGCATGCATACAAGTCCTTTGGTAGCTCTCTAACACCCCCCCCCCCCCAATACTTCTTGTGGGGCTTATAGTCAGACTAGAGACTCAGCGCACAAAATTCGTACACAGGTACAGTCCCTAGGCCTGGCCTGCAATCAGGGCCATCTTCCCCCGCTGCCCGCAGCTGGCCCTGTCCCCCCCTCCCCCCCCATCCACCCCCAGTTCCCTGTTCCCATCCGGTGATCGGAGCCTGCCGGCTGGGGAAAGGCACCAAGAGGTGGTCAGTGCACCTCATAGTGACTGGTTGAGTGGTCATTCTGGTCGTTTTGCCTTTAGGGCCAATTTGCATATTACCCTTTCATTATATAAGATAATCAGCTGCCAGTTGCAGTAGGACCCAGTTTTATTTACTCTTCTACTACCAGTAGGAGAGATAAAGGCATGTTGAAAATATTGTAAATGGCGACTGTGCGAACCAAGGTACTTGGGTCTATTTGGGTCCTCTCCCTGGGGCTTTCCCGCCCCCCTCCTCATGTGCTGCCTGGGTTCCAGATCTTGGGGATGATTGCTGGGAGAGCAATGTTCAGGACAAGTCAAGGTTTCTAAGGGATTTAGGAAAGTGGGCAGGGTGAGGACGAAGGACCCGGGTGGCAGGGATCGCGGTGAGACTCATAAGTGTTATCAGGGAGCACCTCTGGCAAGGAGAGCTGTGCCCCACGGGCGCTCTCAGCATCCTCCCTCAGGCTTCCCTGTCTCTAACCTTTAACATTAAGTGGAGTCTTCAACTTGACTGTGCCTGACTAGGATTGTATGTTAAGAATGCAGAGTACTTACTGCTTGGCAGAGGTTGCTCAGTAGTTAGAGCGTGGGCCAGCACACCAAAGGTCATGGGTTCGATTTCCGGTCAAGAGCAGGAACCCTGGTTGCAGGGTCCCCCCCACCCCCACCCCCACCCGCCTCACCCTGGTTAGAGCGCCGTGGGGTGGAGGCCAGCAGTCGATGTGTCTCTCACATCAATGTTTCTCTCTCTCTCTCTCCCTCTTTCCCACTTCCTCTAAAACTCAATGGAAAAAATACCCTCGGGCGAGAATTACTAGTAACTAAAAACTTTTTTTTAAAGAATGCCGAGTATTGGGGTCCCACTCCCAGAGGCCATCAGGAGGATGCATTTAGAGATGCTGTCATTCTTGGAGATTCGGCTGCGCGGGTCCACGGACCAGTGGACGGTAGTGCTCCTTTCCTCCCAGCACAGTTGAGGTGATCATTCTGGGAAGCCATGCCCGTCGTTTTTAGGGGATGGTAGGAGGAGGCTCAAGGAGTCTAGGACCGTCAGCCAAATCTGCGTTTAGGGCGTTATCTGCAGCTGGTTATCGCACTACTGATGCTAGCCTGCAGGGGGCACCAGCAGGTTGCCTCCTGGCTTGCTCACAGCCCTTCCCCGCCCTTCCCCACCAGCTCCCCACGTGGAGGAGGGGCTGGAACCAGAAGAATGCGTTCCCGCCCCAAAGCTGACGTGTGCATCGCTGCCGGCCGGACTCTTAAAAGCCCACGCGGAGCGCGGGGCATCCCAGCAGAGCTGGAGAGGAGGCGAGCTGGAGGAAACCGCGGAGGACTGGACTGGCTCACTGGGACTGCGGCTGTCACTGCTCTTCGAGCATCCCTGAGTGGGGGACTTCCTGAGTGGAGGGGCCAGGCCCTGCGGAAGTTGCGGGTGTATCCCCAGACCCACGCCCCTTTCGAAGCGCTCGCGGAACCTCTCGCCCCGTGCGAGGGTTCGTCGTTTAGCACAAAGCACGTTTCCAAAAAAGCAGCGCTAGGGAGAGCGCCCGGGCCGCGCTTCCGCGCACAAACTCCCTCTTTCCCTTTGTTTCTGGGAGTCGACAAGCAGATCTCTTCCCCAAGTCTGAATTATTCGCAAGAGGAGGGCCGCCGAGTCTAGGCTGTGAAGATGCCCCTGGAGCTGACTCAGAGCCGGGTGCAGAAGATCTGGATCCCGGTCGACCACCGTCCTTCGTTGCCCAGATGTGAGTACAGATAGGTGCAGGGGCCGGGCTGCAGGGGAGAGGCGCGCCGCGTGGAGAGCAAAGCCATTGTGGGGCGGGAGCTGGCGCGGAGCTTTTGTACCGACTCCTCTCCTCGAGCGCGCTCCTGCGGGGCCGGGTACCTCCCTCCACCGCAGTCTCCGCTGGCTGGGGCGGGGCTCCTTCCACTCCTCCCCGGAGCGCGGGGAGGGGTTGTCGGTGGCGCGGAGCCGGGACAGCGCGGGCTCTTGCGCCGGCGCTGCACCTCCCCTGCCCGGTGTGCGCCGCGGGTGGCTCGGCTGGCCGCACCGGCTTGTTCCCCCCAGCGTAGAGGGAGCCGGAAGCAGCGAGCGCGCCGGGGTACTGGCCCCGGAGAGCAGGGTGAGGAAGCGCAGGGCACTGCAGTGAGCCTTTGCTTCGGGACCTTTGAGAAGGGACGCTCGCGTGTTCCCCAGTCCCGGCCATCCTCCCGTGCGCCCGCCGGGCTGAGTCCGGCCAAGGGACGAGGCCGCTCGTACTCGAAGCGTCACCTCGGGTCTCCATCTGTGCCTCACCTCTCTCTCACCCTCTCTCTTTACCTCTATTTCTTGTTGTTTGTTTATTTTTTGTTGTTGTTCTTTACCTCTATTTCCATAGTCTCTCTTAGCCCCTCTATATTTCTGTCTCCTCCCTGCCTCTGTTTTCACCTTCTCTTAGTCTCCTTTTCCATACATTTTAATATCTTTATATTTCCATCCCCCATATCTCTCTTTTTTCTATATATTTATAATCTCTCTACTTTTCTTTATATTTGTCCTCTCTTTTCCCCTCTCTCTCTTTCCCTCTATACGTATTTCTGTCTCCTCTCTCTGCTCCCACCTCTAGCTCCTGTGCTGGGGCCACAAGAGAGCTCGCCCTGGAACTAAGCCATTGGCCCCGGTTTGGGGGAGGGTCTGTGGATCCCTGACTGTACAGTTGGCAGCGTTTCGAACGGGCGGGCGCACGAGGTGCACGCACAGTGCACCAACCTGACTCGTCTGCCGTTGGCCAGAAATGCTTTGGAAAGGTGTGCCTTAGGTTCTATCCCTAGCTACTGAGAGAGTCACCTCTTAAAAGGGTAGTTCCAGTGGTTTGAAGGTAACACCGCTCCTCCAGGTAACCTGCCCAGGAGCCCATCAGGTGGATTGGGTAGAACCCAATGGTGGGTGTTTTGCCCGGGCCAGGTTGGATTGCCCGAATAAACATGGGATCCCAGATGCAAGCCCTAGGGATGGCTTCTAGGCCTCAGTGGCTGTTTAGGGGAGGTGGCTTGCTGACCTTTGCTGTTGTGACAGCCCACACAGCTGTGGTGACAGCTCAGGTGTGAATCACTGCCCCCACCCCCCACGCCCACCTGCCCCAGGAGGTGGGGAGAACTGGCCCTGTGGTGCTCCTTGGTTATAGAGGTGATGGGGACCTGGTAAGGCACTCCTGATACTGGCGGCCCCTCCTCCACCAGCTTGTCTCCTTTGCTGGACCTGAGGGTTCTTGGGGCCACAGAAGCCTTAAGGAGAACTAACTGGGTTTATTTGCAAGGTAGTCAGGCGTTTGGCAGGTCTGCATCTTTTAGATGTACTCTTTTGTTTTTTAAAGGAATGCTTTATTGACTTTTAGATGGGGAGAGAGAGAAACATTGATGTGAGAGCCTTCTGTATATCCCCTACCGGGGATTGAGCCCGACACCTGGGCAAGTGCCCTGACGGGGAGTTGAACTGGCATCCCTTCGATGCATGGGATGACACCCAACTGTCTGAGCACACTGGCCAGGACTAGATATGCTCTTTTTTTTTTTTTTTTTTTTAAAGTTGAATTCAATGATGAGAGAGAATCATTGGTTGGCTTCCTCCTGCATGCCGCCTACTGGGAGTTGAGCCCACAACCCGGGCATGTGCCCTTGACCAGAATCGAACCCAGGACCCCACAGTCCTTAGGCCGACACTCTATCCACTGAGCCAAACCAGCTAGGGCTAGCTATGCTCTTAAATAGTTTATAAACTGTACTGACCACAGTCTGCTTGTATTTCTTTAAAACCTATTGGTGGTGAGAAATGCAGTGCCTCAAATCATGAGGGAGATTTGGCTACAGCAAGATGCAGAAACAATTCAGTTCAGCCCTTTGTGACTTGGAATAAAGTGTATTTATGGAACACTTGGTAAACTGTAATTGGTCATGAATATATGTTGGTTCTCTCTCTTTATGCAAATGCATGCATTTGTGTGTGTGTGTGTGTACACACACACACACACACACACACACACTTAGTAGTCCCTTGAGGTTCATGGTGGTGGGCTGAGGTCTGGGAGGAATGACCCTGAGTTTCCATGTAGAGGGCACAGATTGACTGCATTTGCCCAGTCGTGTGATTATGAGAGACACAAATGTGCAGTGATGCTTCCTTCCTCCAGGCATCAGAGACCCATCCATTAGACTCTGTCAGTCTGCACGTCTCACACGACTATGAGAGATTTGCCTAAAAATCCCTGTCAGAACCTTTCAGAGCTTGGGGGTGGGGTGGGGGATGCTAAAAGCTGAGGGATTAATTCCCTTTCCCCACCTACTTCTGGAATTCTGAGTGTGGTTCTGAGGTGTAATCTCAGATGTGTTCTTCCTTATAAAAATAACTGCAGCCTAAATAGTTATTACATGCCCTTATTTCAAGTAGCGGTGTCTTTTTTGGTTCCTATAGCCGCATTTGTCTTCCATGGGAATGGAGAAATCAGGGTGTTTTTTCTTGGCATCTTTCCTGACCCACCCCCTTCTTTAATGGCATTTGGAACATTGGTTGGATTTTCTTCCTTCTAAACCTGTTACCATCTTTCTAAGTGGTGTTGTAATTGGGGGTCTGCAGCAGATTCCTCTGAGGGCATGGGGAACATTACTGTTCATGTGCAAAGAACAATAAAGCATCAGGAAACCCCAGACTGATTAGTTTGATATTTCTTCCTCTGAAGCACATCCATTGGATGCCCTGTTAGGACCCCCCACCTGGTGGTAAATACTTCTTACAAAGCCTGCAGCTTCCTTCAAATGCACGCCGTAACTTGGGGAGACTTAACTGAGTTGGTCAATCAGCATCATCGACAAGGACGTCAAAAATGACTGGCGAGGACTGCCTGTCCTTTCTCTGTCATCAGTAAAAGTAGAGAGGCTCTGCATGGGAGTCCCTGCTTATTTACCCACTCAGACCCTTAGTTTTCTCGGCCCTGGTCAGGTAGCTCAGTTGGTTAGAGCATCGTCCCCATATGCCAAGGTTTCGGGTTTGAGCTCTGGTCAGGGCACGTCCAAGAAGCAGCCGATGAATGCAATGAAAAAGTGGAACAACAAATCAACATTTCTCTCAAATCAATTTAAAAAAAGAACCTTAGTTTTCTCATCATTAAAGTAGGTTGCATACTGTGTACTGATAGAAGGGTTTTCATCTCCGCAGGGGCTAAAAGCCACTGAAGGCATTCTAGTTTAAAGAAGGAAGGTAGGGGGAGTGTTTAAGAGAAATTCCTACCCTATACTGTTGATGCTTAGCCCTGGCTACACATTAGAATAATTTTGGGGATATTTTAGGGAGTGGGGAATCCATATGATACTTTACTATTATTTATTTATTTATATATATATTTTAAATTTCTTTATTGATTAAGGTATTACATATGTGTCCTTATCCCCCCATTACCCTCCCAACCCCCCACTCACACCCTCATCCCCCTGTTGTCTGTGACCATTGGTTAGTCTTATATGCATGTATACAAGTCCTTTGGTTGATCTTTTCCCCTTACCCCCACCCTCCCCTACCTTTCCTCTGAGGTTTGACGGTCTGATCGATGCTTCTCTGTCTCTGGGTCTGTTTTTGTTCATCAATTTATGTTCATTATATTCCATAAATGAGTGAGATCGTGTGATATTTATCTTTCTCTTACTGGCTTATTTCCCTTAGCACACTGCGGCTCGCGAGCCACATGCAGCTCTTTGGCCCCTTGAGTGTGGCCATGAAGTTTCAATCGCACTGTACGTGCATGCCCGCACGTGGTATTTTGTGGAAGAGCCACACTCAAGGGGCCGCAGTTTGCTGACCACTGCCTTAGCATAATTCTCTCCAGTTCCATCCATGCTGTTGCAAATGGTAAGAATTCCTTCTTTTTTACTGCAGCATAGTATTCCATTGTGTAGATGTACCACTGTTTTTTAATCCACTCATCTGCTGATGGGCACTTAGGCTGTTTCCAGATCTTAGCTATGGTGAATTGTGCTGCTATGAACATAGGGGTGCATATATCCTTTCTGATTGGTGTTTCTGGTTTCTTGGGATATTCCATGTGATGCTTTAAACCAAGTCAGAATTGCCACAGGGGAGGCCTGGGCATCCTGTTTTGTTTATAACATATTTTTATTGATTTCAGAGAGGAAGGGAGAGGAAGAGATAGAAACATCAATGATGAGAAAGAATCATTGATTGGCTGCCTCCTGCACACCCCCCACTGGGGATGGAGCCTGCAACCTGGGCATGTGCTTTGATTGGGAATTGAACCGTGATCTTCTGGTTCATAGGTCAACGCTCAACCACTGAGCCATGTTGTCTGGGCTGCATCCTGTTTTTTTAAGAGTGCTGTAGGCTCAGCCACTGGTGGAGAGCCACTAATTTAGGAAAGAGCACTTAAAGAATTACAGGTGAGAGAGACTTTGTGAGTCCCAACCATGTCTCTTAGTACTTGTACGGTGGGCCCTCTCCTCACTTGTGGGTCTTAGTTTCCTCATCTGGGGTGATGAAAACTGTAAAGGCTGATGTTGACATAGGCGGCTGAAGAAAGCATTTCCCATGTATTACGTTGTAGTTAATCCTCCCAAGAAACTTTATGAAGCATCCCTCCATTTCACTTAGAAAAAGAAACTAAGACAATGAGAGATCAAGGAACTTGTTCAAAGTCCAAGGAAGCAGTGGGAACTGGCTCTGAACTTTATTTGACTCCAGGCCTTGCCCTCTGAACCACTCTGGTATTGTATGGCCTCCCAAGGTTGTCAGATGATTCACTAAAACTGCCCTGTCCCTCAGTGTCCTTGGCAGAGACCATGTAGGGTTGGGAGGGCCATTCATTGGACAAAGATTAGTTAGGCATGTGTTAAAATATGCATGCAAAATAATGAGTGAATATGGTATTCATCAAATAGTACACAATAGCTTTTGAAAAAGGGTTGGTTCAGCCAGGTTCTTTCCCCGCCCCGCCGCCCCCCCCCCCCCTTCCCCTGCCCGCCAAGCCTCAGGCACATGCCCCTGGGGCAAGCTCACTTAGATGTTGGTTTTAAACATCAACTAAAGCAGACTCTTTGGGCTAATGTGATCCCAGAGAGTGTTTATGTCTAGTAGACAATAGTTAAATGTTCACTATCATTTTCTGAGCCTGCATTTCATTCTCCTAGGGCCAAGTGTATGCAGTCATTTTTCCCAGAGAGCCCTTCCTAGGTGATGGTGTAACTGCAGGGTCACAGCAGATCTTTCTGTACAGAGTTTGGTGTGCCCTTGCCTGGTAGGTTTCAGTGGTTACTGTAAACACACAATGATCAACTCCATCAGGTGGTGTTGGGGACTGACCCACTCTGCATGCGTCTGTCTTTTCTTTTGTTAATCCTCACCCAAGGATATTTTTTTCATTGATTTTTAGAAAGAGTGGAAAGGAGGGAGGGGGGAGAGAGAAAGAAAGAAGAGAGAGAGAGAGAGAGAGAGATGTGAGACAGACATATCAATCTGCATGTGCCCTGATCAGTGCCTGGGATCCAACCTGCAACTAAGGCATGTACCTTTGACCTGCAATCGAACCCACAATCCTTCGGTGCAGAGGTTTGTAGGGGTGCCGGGGTGCCGATGCTCTAACCACTTAGCAACACTGGTCAAAGCTGCACGCAAACAGCCCCTTCTATTTGTTCCCCTGGGACTTGTCATTGAAGCAATAACTTACCCATTTGTAGAAGAGAACACAATGACTTGGGCATCTTTTTGAGGTTAGCATTTTGGAGGGTTTCTGGGGAGAAGATTTGTAGGAGGAACGGGAGCAATAGCAAAGTGTCTTCCAGTGGTTGATTTTATATTCTGAGCATGAGTTGTGGGTGTAAGTATAGTGGGTGAGGACAGCTGTCAACTACCTGCTTATGTCAGTGGGTTGTATATTATCAGAGAAGTTAATAGAGAGTATGTTAGCATATTATCAGATTAACCTGGTTGTAGGGCTGGTATGGAATTGCAGCCTCTGTCTTTCTGGCTGACCATTTTCAGGATTGGCTACTCGGGTCCGTACATTAGAGGGTTGTAGTATACGGACCCGAGTAGGGCATATGTCCCAGTCAGGGCATATGTCTAAGTTGTGGGTTTGATCCCCGGTTGGGGCATGTATGGAGGCAACACATTGATCTCTCTCTCTCTCTCTCTCTCTCTCTCTCTAAAAAAAAAAAAAAAAAAAAAAAATCAGTAAAAACATATTCTCTGGTGAGCATTAAATAAACTGTTAAAAAATAAGGAGTAGGGAGGGATGATGGAGATTAAGACCCAAAGGTTTAGTCAAGTTTTCATGGTTTTCCTGTTCTATTTGAGACCCCAGAGCACCTGGGCCCAGGGACAGCTGTGGCCACCTTTGGCAGTCCCCCTTCCAGCTCCTTTGAATCTTATACAACAAGCCAAAGGAATAGGAAGAACGACTTCTGCTTTGCCAAATAAGGGACTGGTGGTTTATTTAGATTTGAGGTTTAACCTGATTTTTTAGCTTAGGATATTTACTCTGCCATGTCTTTGTACTTTTTTCCTGCCAAAGGAGATTTGGAGTCCATTTGTATGATTAGTGGATGGTAGAACTAATCTCCAATTTGATAAATCAGTCAATATCTGTCTCCACTTCCTTGGCATGAGTCCAACAAAAGTATTTCATACATGTGCACAGCTCAGAGATTGTGTGTGTGTGGTATGTCCATCTGTCTCTGCATGTTTGGATGCTCTTGGGAGCCGTAGCTTTGTGGGGGCATCAGATAAGAAAAACCAATGGCTTGGGGGAAGGATGAGTACAGTAAGCATAGTTTTGGGGCACACGTGAGAACACTTCCCTCATCTATCACCTACAGCTGCCACAATGCATAGAGTAGGGTGTGTCTTATGTTCCCGTTGGTTTCTGGGGAGCCTGTCACCTTTCTCTGCTTGTCCCTTGGGATTCAAGAAAGCCCTTTTGTGTTTCTTTTCTCTACTCATGTGATCACGCCGGGCAGGGAAATTTCTAGGCACTTGTTTGTTCATGGTCACTGGGATCTGAGGAATGTTGGCCTGAGCTTTTGTGGCTCCCGAATGTGTCCTGGCCTCCTGATGGCCTTTCTTCCTCCTCCTCCTCCTCCTCCTCACTCTGCATGGAGGTCACTGATGGTCAAAACCATGAAAGAAACAGCCCCTGTGTATTATGCTTGCTTCCTCCTTGCCCCTAGCCTATAGGTCCAGGGGACAGGCCCTAGACCTGTAGTGGGCGTTTGGACATCTGACCTCAGTTTGGTCACCAGGCCGAGTGTGGGTCTGTGTGGGGGCACATCCAGCTTAAGAGGAGGCGTTCTTCCTTCAAGCCTGTGCTTGTCAGTGGCCTGGTGGCTTTCTCTCCTCCCGCCCATCTGGCACTCGCCTATTAGAGAGAAACAGGGCCCCTGTCTAAATTTGACCGTGGCCTAGATTTGGGGTGCAGCATGAATACCTTTGCCTGCACCCTTGTAGCCAGTGCCTGGGAAGCAGTGCTGCATGGCTGATGAGGAGAGCTGGGCTGACTGTGGCAGCCAGTGAGCTCCAGGCAGCGCTGCTGGGCTGGGAGTGGGCAGATGGCCAGTCTTTGCTCCCAGTGGGCAGCCCCTGCCTCACGTGTACTCATCACCAGGATACTGGAGTTGCCTCAGAGTCTCGGGGCAAGACGCCAGCCAAGGAAATACTGTGCGTGAAATGTTTAGAGTAGGGCTCTTTGGGATGCCTTTTTTTTTTTTTGGCTGCTTTCTTAAAACACAGTGAAAAACCTCTCTCCCTGGTGCTTTGTCTTATTGAGATTCTGAGGAACATGGGACAGTAGTGAAGCAGCGAAGCCAGAGGAGATTCACAAGGCAAGAACTTTTGGGTTTCCCGGGACTCTGCCAAGGCTCTGTGTCCTGGAGCATCTGGGACTCTGTTACCAGCATTTCCTTTTTACTTTTATTTATTGATTTCAGAGAGGGGGAGAGAGAAAGAGAAAAACATCAATTTCTTGTTCATTGCTTATGCATTCATTGGTGGTTGATTCTTGTAAGCGCCCTGACCGGGGATCGAACAGGAAACCTTAGCATATGGGGATGATGCTCTAAACAACTGACTTACCCGGCCGGGGCTTGACCTGCCATTTCTTAAGCAGAGCCCTGGCATCAGTCAGAACTTGGCAGAAAAGGGCAGGCGAGTCTCAAGGACAGAGGAATTTATCTGTCACTCTTGATGGGGGTGGGACTGCATTCTGGGTCCCTGACCTACTTTCATTTGATAAACTCTTACTTATCTTCTTTAAAAACAGTTTTTTAAGGAAGGTCATCCAGACCTACTGTGTGAAGGTTGGGAAATTAATGATTGGCCTCTCTGTATTTCAGCTGTAGAAGCCCCACTCGCTCATGTCCCACTCCTACCTGCCACCTCAATTTATATACTGCATTTGGAACCTGTTGACCTCATCCTAGTTAGTGTTGGGGGGGTGGAGTGTCTTTCTTACACTCCCAAGAGCGCCTTCTACTCTGGGGTTAGTAACCGGCTTCTCAGCTGGCTTTAGGGCTCTGGTATCAGGCTGGGAATTAGGTTCCTGTCATTCATCACCTGAAAACAAGATGGACTGCAAGGTGTGACTAAAGGGCTCTAGCCACCAGGGGGCGCTGGGCCCGTTGGATTCTATAGTGCCCATGACTTTAAGGTGGGAATGAAATAGGAATTTCTGTGGAATTTTTAAGTTTGCTGTGGGGCACAGGCTTTTGTGTCCATCCTTGAGCATTGCTTCATCCATGGCACTTTTCTTTGTTTCTCTTTCCAGCCTGTGGGCCGAAGCTGACCAACTCCCCAACAGTGATTGTCATGGTGGGCCTCCCAGCCCGGGGTAAGACCTACATATCCAAGAAGCTGACTCGATACCTCAACTGGATTGGTGTCCCCACGAAAGGTGAGGCCATGTCCCAAGGCTGATAGTCACTCTGTGTGTGGCAATCCTGCTCACCAACCCCCCCCCCCCCCCCCCCCCCGCGCCCTATCTCTAGTTGCTGGGACTCACCACGCAAGACTATCTTGGCTTGATCTCTCCCTATAATGGGGGGACTTTTTGTGGCTGTGTCCCACCATGCTGTTTACACTCCCTTACTTCGTGTTGAGATCTTTCTGACTGGCCGCTCTGTTAGTCCCTCTGCCCTGAATCCTGCCTAGCTCAGCCCTTGCCTCCAGGAAGCCTTCTCTGGCCACCGAAGTCTATGCTGATCTTTTTCCTTTAAATTCCCGTGATATTCACCACTGACGGTCATAAAGTGCTCCATACGATTGACAAAATTGTGACGAATCTTTGCCTGGTTTCTCAACTGTGTGGGAAATGTCTTAAGAACAGGGACTAACTTTTACATTTGCTGTCCCCCGCTGGGCCCAGCACAGTGCCTCACATAGTAAGTGCCCAGTAAATACTCAGTGCTTCCTATGGGTTGCAGGCTGCCGTGTCCACAGAAGAGTGGCTGATTTGGACCTGGCCGTGGTGCGCAAGCCCTCTCTCTCCTGGGCACCATCGGCAGAAATCATTGCCTGTTTTCATTAGATGTATGGCTGCCACCTATTCTCACAGCCTCAGTCTCCAGCCCCTGACCTCATGAGGCTGGACTGGAGGCTGGACTGGAGGCTGGGCTGTAGGCAACAACCTGTAAAAAAGCAGGTGGCTCTGAGCCATGTTTGGTCTGGGGGAAGCTGGGCTGCCTTCTAGGTCAGTGATTGCACTGGACGAGGCAGTTCTCTTTCTGGTTTCCACATCTTACCGGGATCTTATTCAAGTTGGCGCGTGCATGTGTGTGTGTGTCTGTGTGTGTGTGTGTGTGTGTGTGTTGGCTTGGCTTCCCTTTTTGGAGAGTGTTCCCAGCTGTGAGTGGCCCCTTCTTCCTGGGGGCCAGCTGAGTGACCTCTCTGTTCCCTCTGCAGTGTTTAACGTTGGAGAGTACCGCCGGGAGGCTGTGAAGCACTACAGCTCCTACAACTTCTTCCGCCCTGACAACGAGGAGGCCATGAGAGTCCGAAAGTAAGGCCCGAGCTGCTGAGCTGCCGCAGGAGGCTTTGGGTTTTGGTTTGCTTTGCTTTTGAAAGCCAGGCTTGGTAAGAGAAAGAGGAAGCTGGCCTGTAGGGTGGCTCTCTGTAGGTGACCATCAGATCTGGCCCCACCTCCGTGTGTATTACGAGGAGTTTCCTGGCCGCTCTGAGGCTTGCTGCTTTTATCTGCTCCGGATGCTCTAATCCAGCTCAAGAACAATGTTTCATTATTAAGAATGAACAAAATTGTTTTCATGGAAAATCAGCTGTTTATACTGAAAAGGGTGGTGGTGTTGTGTTTTTTAAGCCCAAGGTGATCATGAAACCCAAGTGCAGTGGTGTTCAACCCTGGCTACACTTTAGAATCACCAGGGAGCTTAGAACGATCCCAATGCCAGGCCTACCCCAGACCTGGGCATAGGTTTCTTAAAAGCTCCCAGGAGGTTTCAGTGTGCCGCCACCATGAGCACCACTTCCAGACGGTAATGGCAGCCCTCTGTGCAGCTCTGGTGGGAGCCTCTGGGCCTGCGGGGTGTGCGCCTGGCAGCCCTGGCCAGCCTGGACAGTTCAGCAGTAAGATCGCCAGTCACTGCTCGGATGGGCAGGCTCTGATGTGTGTTCTCTTTCTCTGTGTTGCAGGCAGTGTGCCCTCGCTGCCTTGAGAGATGTCAAAAGTTACCTGACGAAGGAAGGGGGCCAAATTTCAGTAAGTCGGGAGTATGCTGGCTCTGTCTCCAGCCCTGGAATGGGAAGTTGCCCTGGAGAGAGTGAAATGTAGACACAGCCAGAGCCATTACCAAGAGCCATTGTGGGGACACCTCAAATAGGGACGAGTGCCTCTGTCCTGAGAGTTGAGGGAAGCAGGTGGCTAGAGTAGCACAGGGACCCAGGAGGGTGGGTAGCAGGCGGACTCAGGGGCAGAGCCATCTGGTGTGCTCTGCTCACCCCTCCTCTGTGTGCTCCCGGCACCACCCTCCAAGGCAGGCTGGACCTGGGGTGGCTGCAGCCACGGAGCCAGTGTCCCTTCCATATGCACCTTCCCTGCAGGTTACTGTTATTCGTTTGCTTTAAGGGTTGTGCCCACCCCTCCCCTTCCCTCCCTGGGAGCTGGAGTTTGTGGGAAAGGGGAGAGAAGGGAGGGCCTTGGGGCAGGGCGCAGTTTCTCCGGGAACCACATTTTTTGGCTTCTACCTAGATGTGACAGGCCTGATCTCCTTGGTGACTTGGTGAATACTGTTAAAACTCAAACTTGGGTTCTCTTCACTATCCTTCTTGCTCTCTACCAGGTTTTCGATGCCACCAATACTACTAGAGAGAGGAGACACATGATCCTTAATTTTGCCAAAGAAAATGACTTCAAGGTGAGCCAAACGTCTTAAGTGCTCAGGAGAAAGGAAAACCCTCAGGAATCAGCTGATTTATACTTGGTCCTTCAGCTTCTGCTGCCCTGGTTTTGCTACATGTAGATAGGGCCTTCCTGGTGCTGGCTCTTAGGGTTACTATGACTGGTGGGGTGGGGGGAGGCATCTCTCCGTTGGGGCAGGACTTGGGATTGAGTGAGTGGTTCCTTTTTTAGGTTTTGAGGATTTGTGAGAGGTGTCATTCCTCCTCACACATGGTGATGGCATTACAGTGATACCAAAGCTGGCCCTTTGCGTTACCACATTTATTGCTTCCTAATGTTTCTGTCTCTCTTCTTCCCAGGTGTTTTTCATCGAGTCAGTGTGTGATGACCCTACAGTTGTGGCCTCCAACATTAGGGTAAGACAACGCAGGACCCCCACTCTAGTGGCAGAGTCTGAGAAAAGCAGGGAACCCGGTCAGGCCCAGAGAAGCACCTAGACTCTGAGAACAAGCTGCCTCTCACAGCTTGTTGTTGATTTTGTCTGGGAGGTGGGATCCAGGGAGGTCAGAAGTGCAGAGGGGTATTTAATGTAGAAGCATGTTCTTCGATCTGGCCTGGCTTTATCTACGCCCTTTCAGACAGTCTGCAGAAGGCACTTATTGTGGCACATGGGCGGTAAGGCAGGGTCTGGGAACAGTTTCTGTGGGTGGCGGTAGCTTGGTGGCTGAGTGGTGAAGGGGTTGCTTGGGGCAAGGGGCGCTCACCCCTCCAGGCAGGTAAGTGGTTGTGGATTGACAACAGCCATAGCACTCAATGGACTAAAGGCAGAATTCCTAGTTTGGCAAGCTTGGGAGTAGTCAAACTATCTTCCTGCTGGTGAATCTACAACATATCCTCCTCCTCTCCCTGTGCCAAGAGAAGGTTGCCCGGATAAACTGAGGGTAATTGGCAGCTTAATTTGATTAATTCTTAAATTGTATCACTTGATAACAGTATATTGTAAATAGAAACAGTTACTGGGAAGACTTTACCACAAGTCACCTTCTAGATAATTTTCCATCCAGCTTAAATACATCAGAATAAGACACAGCTACACAGAGCAACAGGTCTGGTATTGCCACAGGGCATGGTGTGGTATCACTACATATAAGTGTGCACCTTTAAAAGGGTGCTGAATGCTCATGAGCTTCTGGTATTGGGCCTGTTCTCCAAGGCCAGCGGTTCTCAACCTGTGGGTCGCGACCCCTTTGGGGGTCGAACGACCCTTTCACAGGGGTCGCCTAAGACCATTGGAAAACACATGTATAATTACATATTGTTTTTGTGGTTAATCACTATGCTTTAATTATGTTCAATTTGTAACAATGAAAATACATCCTGCATATCAGATATTTACATTACGATTCATAACAGTAGCAAAATTACAGTGATGAAGTAGCAACGAAAATAATTTTATGGTTGGGGGTCACCACAACATGAGGAACTGTATTAAAGGGTCGCGGCATTAGGAAGATTGAGAACCACTGTCCAAGGCAGTGGGAATATTTACACGCATTTCTAAGAAGTGACTTCATAGTTCAGGAAGGGCTATTCAAGTTGTGGAAAATCAGTCCAGAGTGGTTTCAGCGGAAGAGGCTCAGAGGACGAGGAAACAGAAGTTGTTGTAATCTAAACAAAGGGTTTTGCTGTATTTCTTTGGTTTGGTTCTACCAGCTCCACTTGGTAGGAAAGGACAGAGTCGCTGCAAAGTCACTCTTCCCGGTGACCAGCTGTCACCATGTGTGTGGCCAGGAATCACTTGCCCCGACCCCCGTGATCAGAAGCCTCTTTCTCTGATTAAGCCTCAAAGTGACTTTGCGGCTTAACTCTCCTCTTTGTGTGGGTGGCTGTGCTGGGAGAAAAGATTTGTTTTTAAGGGATCAGTTCCATGGCCTTCAGCATAGTCACACGATTGTGCAACCACCACCATCGAGCTCTAGAACTTTTTCGTCTTCTCAGATTGAAGCTCTGCACCATGAAACACCAACTCCCCCACTGGACTTGGATGTTGAAAGAGTAGCTGCCTCTCTTTTGTGGCTGTGGTAGTTGTTGAGGAAAAGAACACATGCATTAAAAAATTCAGAGTTTTCCCTACAACCTGCCAGGTTGCTCAGATCTATTGTTCACGTAGAGGAGGAGATGGCAGGCTGGAGAGTTGGTTCTCCTCCATCTCCTTCCCATAAGAGCGAACCTTGGAAGGAACTGGGCCTGAGTTAGAAAAGTGCTAGCCATGGACTGGCTGCTGCCTGTCTACGGGTGGTGGAGGAAGCATCCTGCCTGCCACCCAGGGCCAGGGCCATTGCAGCAGTACCGGATGCAGCTTTGCTAACCGAAAGCCTGTTCTTGGTGTGGAGAATGTCACAGGTGCTTACACGGAGCTCAGTTATTGAGGGCTGGGATGCTGAAGGTGACATGCCTACTGGTTGATCCCGAATCGTGGCCGATTCAGAGGTGTTCATTAGACCCCTCGTGGGTCCCCCATCTCTGTCCATCCAGTCAGCGATCCTTTGTCTACCGTGGTGCCCTCCATGCGTAATTGTCGGGTTATGACTCAGCACCAGTGTATTTCCTTCTTCCCTTAAACACTGGTTCGGATCATCATTATTCCAAGGCTGTCTGTGCTTTCCCCAAATCCTGCTTCAGCTAAGCAGAAAGCCTCCAGCATGATTCATGAGCTGCCTCTTTGTGGTGTTACAGGAAGTGAAAATCTCCAGCCCGGATTACAAAGACTGCAACTCAGCAGAGGCCATGGAGGACTTCATGAAGAGAATTAACTGCTATGAAGCCAGCTATCAGCCCCTCGACCCCGACAAATGTGACAGGTAGTTCTTCGGAGGGGATCCTCTCTGAATCACCGACTTCAGGGCTTTTAAGTTCCCACAATGCAATTGCTCCTGGATACTTTCAGGAACTGTCTTGTAAAATATCTTTTGAAGAAAATCCTTCACTGCATGTCCAGTGTAACTGTTTCAGATACTAGCTATGTCGAAGTGCGGGAAGTGAATATCCAGCCCAGTCTTGCTGGGTCCCTTTGGCACGGCCTCTCTTTTCTTTCCCTTCTTTTGCTTTTCTCCCCCCTCTCTTCTGGGAGGCCGTCAGCCTCTTGACCACACACTCTGCTGTGTGAGTTACAAACTCAACCTGTTAGATCACATAGAAACAGACTGTGCCCTCCAGGAACATAACAGCCAGACGGTGTGGTTCTGTTGGGGCCAACCTCTGCCCTTGACCCCAGCCGGGTGCTGCGCTGATGGGGGGAGCGGGTTCTGACCTGCTGGTCGCCTTCCCCTGCAGGGACCTGTCCTTGATCAAGGTGATCGACGTGGGCCGGCGGTTCTTGGTGAACAGAGTTCAGGACCACATTCAGAGCCGGATTGTGTACTACCTGATGAACATCCACGTGCAGCCCCGCACCATCTACCTGTGTCGGCACGGAGAGAGTGAGCACAACCTCCAGGGGAAGATCGGAGGGGACTCAGGCCTGTCCGTCAGGGGCAGGAAGGTAGGAGGGGAATGGGGGGAAAGGTAAGGGGCTGAGGGGTGGGGTGTGAGTGTGTCTGTATATGTGTGTGTGTCTGTGTGTCCATGCGTGTATATGTCTCTATGTATGTGTGTGTGTGTATGTGTGTATGCATCTCTGTATGTATGTGTGTGCCTGTGTTTGTGTGGATGAGAAGGGAACATCTCCAGGGCTGTGAGGAGGGTGTGTGGGGGTGGCTCCTCAGTTGCTGTCTCCTCCTCAGCATCCTAATGACAACCAAGTGACCTTCCCCAATGCAGGGAACGAACTCTGCACTGCCTCTCCAGGCGGCACAGGAGCCTGGAGTCCAGTGTGTGTCCCTCTTGTCCCTGCCCTCAGTTTGCCAACGCCCTGAGCAAATTTGTGGAGGAGCAGAACCTGAAGGACCTCAAGGTGTGGGCCAGCCAGCTGAAGAGCACCATCCAGACGGCAGAAGCCCTTCAGCTTCCCTATGAACAGTGGAAAGCGCTCAACGAAATCGATGCTGTGAGTTCTGGTCTGGCTGTGGCCGTCGGGGGGCAGGAGCGAGACGGCCAGGAAGCCTCTTGCTGAATCTGCCGGAAATCCTGAGAGCCCTTTCAGACCACATGGGCTGTGTTGACCAACTCAAGGTGACCGGGGTGTTTTCTCCAGGGTGTCTGCGAGGAGATGACCTACGAGGAGATCAAGGACACCTACCCTGAGGAGTACGCTCTGCGCGAGCAGGACAAGTACTACTACCGGTATCCCACTGGGGAGGTACGTGTGCTGGCACAGCTGCCCCTTCCTCCAAGGGTCATTGTCCACTCGGCGAGCAATGGTCAGGTGTAGCTGCTGTGTGCTGTGCCTGGACAGTCCTTCAGTGGCCGCAGTGTTGGGCTAGCCTGAGAGAGGGCCGCTGGACACCCCAACGGACCGTTACTGTGCACAGGGACCCACGTGTTGTTCTGATGCTTGTTCCGGGCACTTTCACCTTTGAGTCGGGTTTTCCTGCACCGAACCTGTAAACAGCTCCAAGGGAAATACCATGGGCAACAGTGAGAGCTGTGTTTTGCTAACGACACACAAGTGCAGAAGGAACAGCAGTGGCGGTGATTATTCCCTCGGTGCGAGGGTTCTCCCCTTGACCGCAGGCAAGATGCAGACACGCCATCGCGTCACTGCGCTGACTGAATTGGCCCTGATGCGGGCAGTTCCCAAAGGCTGTGTACATAGCTCACTTAGGCCGACTGAGCAGCTGCTTAGAGCCCTGGTCAGAGAGTCTGGGAAGCAGGTGGTACTCTGGGCGTCCACGGCAGGTGACTCCGAGCGGGAGCCCTGCCCATCTGGGGCCTGTCATCTCAGTTTCCCCATAGCCCAAGGTGCTATCCTTTTGTGTCACCCTGGCCGTCTTTCCTGGGACCTGGTTAGTAAGAGAAGGAAGAGGGACAGCAGAGAGGCCTTTTTCAACTTATTTTTATTGACATAAAATTTATATAATGTAAAACTCACTGTTTTAACCATTTTTAAGTATGTATTCCAGTGATTTTTAGTATATTCACAATACCAAGGAACCATCACCACTAGGTCTAGAACATTCCATCACTCCAAAAAGAGACCCCAACCTGTTAGCGGTCAGTCTCCATTCTCCTACCTCCAGCTCCTGGCAGCCACGGATCTGCTTCCTGTGGAGTTGCCTGTTCTGGGCATTTTATATAAATGGGATTGTACAATATGCGGTCTTGGGTGTCTGGCTCCTGTCACTTTGTGTACCGTTTTCGAGGTCCATCCACACTGCAGCGTGTGTCAGACTTCAGTCCTCACTGCCCGTGCAGAGGGTCAGGAAAGGGAAGGAGCGGTGAGAGGGAGGGTGCAGGCCAGTGTCCTCTCAGGATTGCCACTCCACATCCTCAGCAGCACACGGGCGCTTTCCCTTTCCGAGGGAGCCCACTGAGGTGGGTTCCCAGGGCCCATAGGCAGCAGCACTGAGACACGCCAGGGTGTTACTGATCGATCGTACGTCCTCTAGTTCATAGTGAGGGGGGGCCAAGTTGGCCCAGCTCTCGCCTTCCTGTGTGTGCGGCTCCAGCACAGCGCCTCTCCCTCTGTCCCTCTGTCTTGCAGTCCTACCAGGACCTGGTCCAGCGCCTGGAGCCAGTGATCATGGAGCTGGAGCGGCAGGAGAATGTGCTGGTCATCTGCCACCAGGCCGTCCTGCGCTGCCTGCTGGCCTACTTCCTGGATAAGAGTGCAGGTGCCGCATCCCCCAAAGTGTCCTGGGGGAGGGGGGCTGGGAGCTGGCTGCCATCCTGAAAGGAGGAGGGGAAAATGGCCTCTGAGTTTGGGGTAGCAGCGGACCTGGTCCTGCCTTACCCGACCTGCGCAGGTTGCTGCTGTGCTTCTGAGGGCCCTCAGGCCAGCCCCTGGGAACCGTCATAGCAGGACGTGAGGCATGGTGGGCCAACAGCTTCATTCACAGCCCCTGAAAGCCTTCGTCCACTCTCTTAGCAGCTTTGGGCCGGGTGGGGAGGGGCCAGCGCGTCTCTGCAGCCCCCCTCTAATGAACAAACAGCCCGGAAAACCCTACCTGAAAAATTTAAGTCTGAGTTGGCCAGAGGTTCAGCTGAATCCTGACACACTTTTTATTTTTATTTTTAACTATAACTCATTCTGTGAGAGCGGGTTTGGGGCTTGCTCTGATTTGTTCTTTGGGCTAGGTGTCTTTTCTCGGGCCGTCTGCCTTCAGGGAGGGCCTCTGTGAGGGTGGGGCCGGGGAGATGCCGCTGAGGGTCGGACCTGGCCAAGCTCTCGCTGGGGGCCTGGGAATGTCCATCCCCAAGTCTCGTGTCTGATTGTGGGGCCCTTTCTCATCTTTTCAGAGGAAATGCCTTACCTGAGATGCCCCCTTCACACTGTCCTGAAGCTGACACCAGTCGCTTATGGTGAGTGTGGTGATGCAGGCCTTGCCGCGTGAGCCTTGCCGCCCTGGGATGGTGGCTACGGGGCTGCAAGCGGCTTGTCCCCTTTCACCATGAGCTGCTCTCTCCCCCGGCCAGGCTGCCGTGTAGAATCCATCTACCTGAATGTGGAGTCCGTGAACACACACCGGGAGAGGTCAGAGGTGAGTGGAAGCTCCGGGCCTCCACCCTTTAGCACCCCTTCCTGTCCTCCATCCCGAGGACTGTCCAGGGCCGGGACCCATACGTGTGAGCTCTTGGGAAGTCCTTAGTATGGTGTTGCCTGTAAACGCTGAAGGAAGTCTCGGCTCTCGCGGAGGTAGTTTGTTGGAACCAGGACGGCCTGGGCGACTTCCTCCTCTCCCTTTTCTCAGCATCTGTGCGCTCCTGCCCTGTCTTTCTTGTGGCTTCTTGCTGTCTTCTTTCTTTCTCTTTCCATGCTTTCTTCCCCCATTTCTCCTTGACCCGAGAAGCGAGTAGTAACGAGGGAGACACATTCTGCTCTTTAACTGTAACCACAGCACAAATATTGTTGCCTTTTCCTCTGAGGCAGCTAAAACTGCTTTCAGTTTCCAGAGCCACTTATTAAAACGGTCACCTCTTTGTGCGTAGGTACTGAATTACCGGGAAAGGGTAATAGTGAAAAGGGAAGTGGGACTGGAGAAACATACGTTTTTTTAAAAAAACATGTTTTTACTGGTTTCAGAGTGGAAGGGAGAGGGAGATAGAAACATCAATGATTCGAGAATCACTCATCAGCTGCCTCCTGCATGCCCGACACTGGGGACCGACACTGGGCATATGCCCTGACCGGGAATCCAACCATGACCTGCTGGTTCATAGGTTGACACTCAACCACTGAGCCACGCCGGCCGGGTGGAGAAACGTATGATTTGGAAATTAGGGACAGGAGGGATGGTGGGTGGAAAGTTTTCCAGGAGACACCAGAGCCTGGTGGTATTTGATCGTCCTCTGGGAGGTCTGCGATCTGGTGGTCGGCCTGGTGGGCTCTCCCCAGGGCAGAGCCACTTTCTGCCCACGTGTATGTCATGGGAGAAAGTTGGAATTTACTTTGTACCGACTGCCGAAATGTGGTGCTTGGCCAGCATCAGCCCCACACTTTCCTGTTCACCGAGTATGACATGCCCAACTGTGCAGGGGACTTTCCTGTTCCCTGGGAGCTTAACCAGAAGATTTTGGCATGAAAACCCTGGGTTCCACCGGCAGTTGCCTGGCTGGTTGACTGAAACGCAGGAGGGCAGCATCCCCTGGCTCTGTGACCCCCTCTCTGGACATCTGTGGGTGGCAGATGCTGCATTTCCTCTCACTCCGTGTGGAGCAGCCTCCCAGCCGGATCCCCCAGCTTCGGGGTTTGGCTGCACAGGGCTCTGATGGTCCCTGAACACTGTGCAAAACCAGGGCAGGTTCTTGGTGGAGACAGACTCCAACGCAGGCTCCCGGGTCACAAGCTACAGTGACAGGCCCCTGGGATCGCTCTAGTCGCATTGTCACTTGGTCAGAAGGCTAGTGTTTGGCTCTGGCTGGCTGTTTCTGCCTCCCTCTGGTCTCGTGTCTCCTGTATGGCTTTGGAACCCGCCTTTCCTGTCCTGAGCTGGGTGTAGGCTGGATGCAGGAGCAGTTCTATGCCTGCTTTGCAGATCTTGGCTCGCGGTCAGTTCGGGGGCGTCAGCACCGACACCTCCCTCCTGCCTTCCTGTCCTCCTGCTGGCCTGTCCCCTTCCCCGAGCTCACGTCCAGGCCTCTCTCCCCTCCACGCCCCTCCTTGGAGGCTGGCAGCAAGGTTCTTCTCTCCCGCCTCGTTGTCCACTGTAACTGAATGACTGTCAGAATTGGTCCTGCTGTTCTCCCCTCGCCTGCTTTGTGAACGTCGAGCTTGTCTGGGTGGGTGTCTTGGGATGATCCAGAAAAGGGCCTCAGGAGAAGATCATCCCTTGTCGACCTGGAGATGCAAGACAGAATGGCAACCCGTATACCAGGGCCGTTCACCTTGGTCGGTCTTGTCCCGTCAGTAAACTCCAGAAGCAGAGAAACGTGTTTTGATTGGGTTTGGTTTTTTTTTTTTTTTTTGGCTTATTTACTCCCCCTTCTCCATGTAACTGTCGCCTTCTCTCTTTTGTCTTTGTCTCGCTTAGGACGCAAAGAAGGGACCTAACCCGCTCATGAGACGCAATAGTGTCACCCCACTAGCCAGCCCCGAGCCCACCAAAAAGCCTCGCATCAACAGCTTTGAGGAGCATGTGGCCTCTACCTCCGCTGCCCTGCCCAACTGCCTGCCCCCGGAGGTGCCCGCGCAGCTGCCTGGACAAGTGCGTGACCCCCCTTTTCCTTCCTGGCCGTCGTGTCTCCTGTCTGGATGGAGAGACTGCCCTTGGGTACCACCATAGCCTCAGACCCAGGCCTGCATGGGGGTTGGGGAGGGGAAGAACACGGGAGAGTGTCTGAAGTTTGTAACATCCTGGAGGTCCAGTCAGGTCCTTCCTAACCATGGCTGTGAGCGTGCATACCTGCCTTCTGAGGAGGTTCCCTTCACTGGGCAGAGCCGGGCAGAGCCGGGCAGAACCGGGCAGAACCGGGGAGAACAGGAGAAATGGTGCTGTCTGTGTCCTCTCATGTTCGTGGATAGGTTTTGCAAAGCAGCGTGGAAGGCAACCCTTAGGTTGGAAGTCTGTATGCAGTCTGGGCCGTTGGCTTCTGCATGGCCTGAGGACGTCTGTTCTGTCCCAGGCCCATGGCTGAGTAGTTCTCCTTCCTTTCTCACCGTGGCTTCCCATTGTGGAAAAGCTGTAGTCAAAGGGGGCCCTCGGAGAATGTCCTTAGCCGGGACCCACATGGTTCAGTGGGCACCTGGGCAGCCTAACTCCCAGGGCTGGATGGTCTGGAAACAGCCACTTTCTCACAGCAGTTACTTTGGCAGGTAGCGAAAAAACCAAAAGCAAAAAACCAACTAGACTTCACTTTATTCCCTGTGAAGATTAAAGGCGGAAAGATCTCCGCTACTGGGCAAAAAAATTAAGATTTGTTTTTAGAAATGACAGCCAAGATTCTGTGACACATAGAAATCTCTGGGCACAAATTTGGGTCCCACCCAGGGTCTTCCCCCACCTCCACCCACCAGGCCTGTCTCTTACAAATAAGCCACGGCTGACTTTGGATTGGATTTGTCTGAGCTCGGTGCTGAGGCCTGTACTCTCCCTGCATTTTGGCTGAAGCTCATTTAAATCCTGTGGTGTCTGGAAATGGGATGTGGGGACAAGTGCTGTGCAGTCTTGGGCAGGTCATTGAACCTCTTCAGGCCTCGGTTTTCTCATCTGGAGAATAGGGGAGTAATGCCAACTGCCACAGCAGATCAAAGAGGGAATAAGTGCTGAGCATCAAGCACAGTATCTGCCCCTGGGACTACCTGTAGGATTTTATTGTCAGGTTACATCCCTCCCTGGCCTTCAATCTCCTTATCTTTCCAAATGAGGGGGTAGGACTTGGGGATATCTAACTAATATTCCTTTTAGGTCTAAAATTTGAGGGTTTTTTTTTTTTTAATGAAAACAGAACTGAAGTTCTACGTGGCACATCTATGAGATTGTTTTGGTGTAAACTGGGGCCACAGTTGGAAGTTTAGAGGCTCCTGTCACTGACACTTGCAGAGACTGGCCTGGGCTGGGTTCGGCGGTGGGTGTGTGGGACTGCACTATCCCCGGTCACGGAGGATGCATAGCTGGGGCTCTCCCAACTTTGGCAGGACAGTCCTTCAGGGTTGCTGAGCTGAATCCTCAGGGAGTCTGGAAGCTGGGCCAGGCTGGGGGTCCCAGCAGAGGAATCCTGATTTCACACGACCTGGGCCTTGTACCCTGTCCCTCTACTGACCTCTCTCTCAACCTTTTCTCTCTGCAGCCTTTGCTAGGGAAAGCCTGTTTGTAAGTATTTTTCTCTGTATGATTTTGCTGCTAGCACCTCTTTCTCCTTGCTTTCCAGTTTGGCCTCCTGTCTGTTAAAATGTTGAGGTTAACAACAGTTTTTGTGAAATATGAAGGAGGCAAGATAGGCACTGAAGGAGGGAGAGGAGGGATTCATGAGTTTGTAGCACAAGACACAAAAGTAATTACGGCCCAGCTGTTTTCTGCGTCACTCCCTCTTGGCATCCTGGGTTACTGTTAGTGCTAAATCTCATTTGTCCCCCTTGGGGGTGAGCTAAGTCTTCTGTCTGCTACTGTTTTTTAAAATTCTGTGTCTCCCCTAGGAGAGCCCTTTCATTCCTAGGGGAACATTTACCCAGAGCCTAATCTGCAAAACAGAAGGAGGCGCTGCAGCCGTCCCTCTTGTCCTGGCAAGGACTCCCACTCCCCCACCACCCACCCTTGGGGCTCCAGGACCCCCACACTTTGGAGCGGTCTGATTGGAAACCGTTGTTTTGAATCAGGTTGTCCTGTATGGGAACCTGCTCAGCCTTAATAGTCATGTTCAGGATTGGAGCCAGCTTTTGAGTCAGACCCATTTGGTTTCCCCTTTCCTGCAGCCAGAGCTCTCTGCAAAACGTTCTAGTTAAGTGTTAGCTAGAGCGTTTCCAGTGCTCCAGTGGGCCCCAACTACAGAAGGAACCGAGGCCTTTCTATTGCAGTTTCAGAACAGCCACCTGAAATATCACCCTCTCCAACCCCTCAAGCGCACCTACCCGTGATCCCTTTTGCTGATGAGGGCCCCTCCACCGATTCATGCAGAAGCCAAACGCCTTTAGGAGGTCAGCCTGATAAGCTTAAAAGCTCAGCTTGCTCTGGGAAAACAGGAGTTGTTGGGCGCTTAGATTAGGTGGCACCACCTGTACTGCTTGCACAGAATCTCCTGTCTTTGATCCTTAACCCCAGGATGTCTGAGGGCAGTTGCTATCCCCATTTAGCAGACGAGGGCCCAGGTCAGCCGGTGAGTGGCAGAACCAGGACGTGACCAGGCCTCCCTGTCCTGAGGCTGGCTGCTTTCTCTGGGCTGGTTTCTGGGAACAGTCAAGATACTGTTCCCCTGCCCCTGCCTTGGGCACCTGACGTTTGCCGCCTGTGGGGCACTGCCTGGAGCTGTTTGATTTCCTTTTTAGCTCTTGCGGCCTCTCCCATGCAGCTGTTTCCCATGGCTGAGGTGTGTTTACTTAATGTGGGCGTGTCCATGAAATTCAGGCTTTAGGAGCCACTGCCCCATACATCTGTGCATCTCCTGTTTCTTTTGACTCATGGCCTGGAGCTGCCAGGAAAGAAATCTTCCTGCTGGAGGGGGCCATTTGGGCACCTCCCCTACATACTAAGCTTGAACTTGCACATCTCTAAGGCTAACAGCACCTTTGGCTAGACTCCTTCCAGTTCTCCGGACCCTTCACACCTGCATTCACTCTGGGATTTCAGCGCTCAGCCCAGCCTGGGAACACAAGTCCTTCTCTGGAGCTGTAGTTCCCAAAATGTATTGTTAGAGTCACACTGAACCGGGTTTGGATCTTGGTTCTACTACCCTCTCAATTTGGAACTCTGGGCAAGGTGGTGTCATTCTAGGACTCCAACCTCCTCATCTGTGAAATGGAGTTAGGAACATTGCGAGGTGTTTTGATAATGTAGCACTTACAGGATCTCTGGCACATAGTCAGTGCCCTGTGGCCGATAGTCATTATGGTGGGAGAGATGGTGCCCTGTGCCTTGGTGGGGACGTCCAGCGCTCTGGCTTGCGCTCCACTCTGCATTTTGATGCCCCCCCGTTCCCTCTGCACAGGCCAGTGGCATTTCTTCTCATGAGCAGCAGGAGCACCAAGAGGCTGGGGAGTGGGGGAACCCCTGGGATCTTAAGGGCTGTGGTTGGAGGATGCCCGTAAATGTGGTTTCCCAACAAAGCGAGCATGACGGCTCAGCCAATGTGGTGTCCTCCAGTCCAGTCCTGGGGGCTGTTTCCTGTGCTCGGGGCCAGCCAGTCACCATGCATCCTTGACTTTGAAATTTCAGATGCACATAACAACAAAATGCTCCCTAAGATGTGTTTTGTTTTTTCTTTTCCAACATGTTTCTTCCTTTGCCCCCACTATGCTTGAAAGACGAACTGTCTGTCACATTTTCTCAAAGTTTTCTCCTTACTAACCTTGGAAAGGTAAATGGCTCGGTGCATGCCCCTCTCGGTCCCCTCCCTCCGCATCTCTCTGAGTCATGGCATCTCTGCCTGGCAGGGCGCCTCGGTCTGTGTGAAGACTGGCCATTGTGAAGTGTGTGACTCATACACCCCATGCCAGAGAACTCATGATTTTTTTAAGAGCAGCACCATTGTCCTGAGGTCCCCTCTCTCACTTCCTCCTTTTCCTCCATGTGTCCTGAGCCAGGGACACCATGCGTGAATGGTTTGACAATGCCTGTGCCTGCGGCCCCCAGTGTCATTGTCCCGTCGCCATCGTTTGTGGGTGCTCGGAGTCAGGCTTGACATGTGTGAGGGCGGGTTGGAGGCAGCTGGGCAGCACCTCGCTCTGACCCTACAAGTTGACTGGGTCCTCTCTGGTTTCGAGGCTACAGAGTCTTCCCCAACAGACACCCACTTCACAGAGACTGTCTGATGTACTGTAGTTGGAGGTCCAGTCGCTGGGCTCCTGAGTCCAGCTGAGAGCAGGCTCAGATCTGGCCTTCAGTGCTCCCAGCCTGGGCTTCTCTTCTGTCGGGATTCCTGCACCCGGGCCCTTGGTTCTGCAGGGAAGGGAGTGGGCCCAGCCGATCCTTGCATATTTGTCTCCCTGGGTTCCACTCTGTACCCCTGTCCTATAAGACAATCCTGGCGTAGACACTCAGGATGGGAGAGAACACTTTTTAAAAAGAGTCTCCCTTTTTGGTGGGTAAATTAAGGAGGTTAAAGAGACCTCCGCTGTGCAGTGGCAGCCATCATTCATCCCCAGCTGATAGAAAAACATTTTTTTTGGGGGGGGGGGGGTTGGTACTGGCCAGCTTCTTACAGACGAGGCTTCTGGCTGGGATTACTTTTATGAGCACAGGAAGAGAGCTTTAGTGACAGTGCCCACGTCCAGCCCGCTCGCGGCACCTGTGCTCCAGCTGCTGAGCTCGTGTTCCTAGGATCTGGATCTCGGGCTGAGGTGTGCGGCCCTGCTTGAGCCGAGTGGGGAGGAGAGTCCGTGTGCTATTTTAGAGGGCCTCCTGGAGCATCTGCCTGTCATGGCCAGCAAGACTTCCCAGGGCAGGGGCAGCCCCGCGGTTCTCAAGGGCTGTGAGCTGAGGAGGGTCCTCTACGTGCTGGCCCCATTGCTCCCCAGGACAGCTCTGACCTACAGAGCTGCCTGCTGTCCCTCTTCTCCTTCCTCTGCCATGAGGCCCTTCTCCTGTGTGACCCTGGCCTTCACCTCCACATGTTCCTGGGGCCTCCCTGGGCAACTGCCACCAGTTTGGTTACTAATGTTCTCCCGGGATTGTGTTTTTTGTTTGGGGGGAGGGAGGTTGAAGTCTCAATTGCATGGTTTTAGTCTTTTGCTTTGGAAACCTAGTCAACAGTAATAACTCCCCTTCCCCACCCTTTTTCTCCTGAAAACAGAACATGAATGGCTCCCAGAGCAGCGTCGACTCCTCCCAGACACACTGAGGCAGACCCATCGGTTCCATTCCATTTCCATTCCCGCAGCTTAGGTTGGGCTCTTCCCTCCACCCGAGGCCGACCATGCCAACGGCTTCTCCCGGAAAGGGCTGTGCGGCGTAGAAGAGGGGTCTGCTGGTCAAAGTGAATCTCTGCTCCCAACAGCACCTGGGCGGCCAAGACCCCAGCACGCCTTTCCTGTGTGTGCACAGAATCTAGGCTTCTGTGGCCACCCTCATCCCATACTCTCCCCACTGTCCAGGCTGTGTGGCCTCACGGACCCTTCATAAGACTTGGTGAGGACAATGAGCCGTGGAGGAGGTGAGAGAAGGCCCTGAGGAGGGGACGGACGTTGGGCACCTCGTGCTGTTTTTTTGTTTCATGTCTGTGACCTTGGCCTGGAATGTTCCCAGCTGGGAAAATGACATTGGTCTCAGAATCCTAAAATTGAAGGGGCCTAGGTCCCAGTTGCTGACAGTTCAGGGACGTAGGAAACGTTCATAAGGCTTGTTGGTGCATCTTTGCCTGGGATGTTGACCTGTGAAGACAAGACGATTGCTGGGGTAGAGCCGGCCAGAGAGCCAGTCTGGAGGTGCAGACAGAAGTCCCTGAGCTGGACTCGCTCATCAGCTAAGCAGTGACCCTCTCTGTGTCCACACACCGTCCCAGGGCTGTGCTCAGCCGCTGAAGATGTTGGACAGTCTGGTGGTGTTGGCAAGAGGAAATGGCCCCGGGGCCTCACCCTTCCTGGGACCTGCGTGGTCCCTCTGCCGCAGGCCTGGATCAGAGGCACCTGAGTGAGACTGGCTTCCCTGGGGCTGCTTTGCTTTGAGATTTTTTTCTGGCAGAACATGTGACCTGAACATCACACCTTCCCTTCAGGAATTTAGATTTTTGGGTTTTGTGCCCCTGGGGGCTAGAGCTCTTGAAGAATGTGGGGAGTCAGGCATTCCCATGAGATGGGGGGCGCAGAGGAACCCCAGTAAATGGCTGGGAGCAAGCGCTCAGATCATTGCAAGACAGCCCCCGGGAGACAGCATGGAGAAGAACAAGGATCCAGCCTCCTTCCTTCAGGACATTCATCACGTCCCATGTTTCCCAGGTGGGGACAGGGGCCCAAGCCAGGCCTCACTCTGGGCCACTTCCTCTAAGAGGCTATGTTCATCGCCTCCTGCAGGAGTCGCTCATTCCCGCACGTTTTCATGGAGCATCTGCTGTGTGCCGAGCATGGTGTGGGTTCCTCGGGGAATGTCCTCTCTTGCCTTAGTGGCACCTGTGACATTTTTTGGGGGGCATTTCAAGCAGGAATTGGGGAACATGTGATTCTAAATACCTGTAGTTTCTATCTCCTTGTTGCCTCCAAGTAGAGGGTGTCCTGAGGTCCAGAAGAAATGGTTTGGAGACAGTGTCCAAATGACCTTTGAGGATCTTTCTAAAAGCTGGTGCCAAAGGTCATGTTCCTTTCCTGCCCTCTGCTTTTGAGCCTGACATCCTCATCCTGCTTGGCCTGTGAGCTAGCTGAGAGTAGGGGTGGGCAGGCTGAGACAGAGGGAGTGGGAAGTGGAGAGAACCGCTATTTTTACTTGAGAGGAGCTTTTAGAGAGTGTACGTTTATCTGATTAGGATTACTTGGAAGTGGAACATGCTTCAGATACCATACAATAAAATGGGAGGTTTTCACACCAAATCACTCAACCCCTGCCCCTTACTTTGCAGTCTGCCTGAGAGGATCTGTATGTAACATTCTGTACCACTGAAGATGGGTTATTTTCCCTCTTTCTCGCTATCTTGTGTCCGGTTGACACGAGTGTGTGCTTGTAGGGTGGGCGTATATTTAGGCAGAGGGGCCTGTGGTTCTGCTCTTGAGGAAGACTTCACTGTGTCCCACTTTCTGGAATTCTCTTCCTGGTTGTCAGAGCTAGCTCTGGTTTTTGACTCTTACAGCAGATTTGAGTGGGGCTGCATGAAGGTGCACCCCTCGCCTCTGACAGCCTGAAGTAGGTACAGACAAATGAGGCTTTGCCTCCCACAGAACATAGTTGTAAGGGCCTGGGTGGGGCATAGGCATGAATATGGATGGGGAGGGAGCCCTGGGAGGAGCAGAATGCTGCTGAGGTCACCTCTGAGGAGGTATTGGATGGAGGGTGTATGGGAGCTGCAGGCACGGAGCACTTGCTACTTTATTGCCTCTCACTCCCCCTCACTGCCCCCCCCCCCCAAAAAAAAATCTGGGACCAATTTTTTTAACTTTGCATATTTGTTTTTGGGTAGGTGTACCCCTCTCCTTTTTCTGTCCTGAGACCCTGGACAAAACTCTTCATTTGGGGGGAGAAGAAAAACTGTTTGAACCACACCAATGATGATTTTGTTTGTAATACTTGAAAGTTATTTTTTTATTATTTTGATAGCAAATGTGCTATTTATTTATTTAATGTGTATAAAGGAGCTTGAACATAGACAATTTCTTACTTTGGGTTGTTGTTTGTCGGTTGGCTTGGGGCCTTTTATGTGCGACTTAAGACTTCTCTGCATTCTGTATATTTGTCTGAATTAATTATCTGGGATGAAGCTGTGCCGGCTTTCACACAGGGGCTGCCTTTCAGAAATTTGTATATTTTGCAGTTGCCAAAACAATAAAATACCCAATTGAATTACACTATAGTGCACTTCTGGTCTTTTTTTTTGGGGGGGGGGGGGGGAAGAATAATTCAGAGGGGAAGGGAGAGGGAGAGAGATGGAAACATCAATGATGAGAGAAAATCATTGATCGGCTGCCTTTTGCACACTCACACTGGGGTTCAAGCCTGCAACCCAAGCATGTGTCCAGATAGACCAACGCTCTATCCACTGAGCCAAACCAGCGAGTGCACGAAGAATCTTTAATTGACACTTTTGGTCAGTACATTAAGTTTCTACCCCTCAGTTCTTGACCTCCCTCTGCACTGCTTCCCTTAAACAGGACATGCAGATACTGATCGCCTAGTGCCAGCTTTTGGGAAACAATAAGCTGTGTCAACTTTGAAATAACAATAAGAAACTTGATTTCTTATAACAGTGCAGGTTTACAGGAAAGAGCAGCTAGTACAGAGTTCCCATGTGCTCTCCCCTGTCCCTGCACAGTCTCCCTATTATTAACATATTTCGCTAATGTGGTGCACCTGTTATGGTTGATGAGCCAATATTGATATATGGTTGTTTATTAGAATCCATAGTTTACACTAGGGTTTGCCCTGTGTTGTACGGTTCTATGGGTTTTGACAAATGCATACTGATATGTATCCACCATATGTATCCACCATTATGGTATACAGTATGCCCATCGGTTTTTATTCCTTTCATTCCATCCTGTGCCTCCCCAGCCCTTTCAAACAGCAGCAGTTCTTACACAGCAGTGGGGCTGGTCTGGGTCTGCATTCCTCACCCCAGGCGCTTCCCTCCTGTAGGCCAGTGCCGCTGATTAGAGTCTCCAGTCAGATTAATTCTCATCTCACTTTGCCCTGGGCTCACTTTCCACTTTTCTCACCAGCATGGTTAGGAATATCTTAACTTGGAATTATTTAATAAATGGTACCACTACAAGAATTGCTCAACTATCTGGGAAGAAAAAGCTAATGAGATCATAGCATTGTAACACCTATCTTGACCTATATGATTTTTAACATTTTTTTATTGATTTGAAAGAGAGGAAAGAAACATCGATTTGTTGTTGCACTTATTTATGCATTCATTGGTTGCTTCTTGTAAGTGCCCTGACCAGGGATTAAACCCACAACCTTGGTGTACCAGAACAATGCTCTAACCAACTGAGCTACCTGGCCAAGGCTAGGTATATATATATATATATTTTTTTAAATCAAACTATTAAAAGGAGAAAAAAATATGGTAAATGTCTAAATTTTTGATGGACAGCGATCAAGATTAAAAGCAATAAAAGAAACTACAGCCCTAGCTGGTTTGGCTCAGTGGATAGAACGTCAGTCTGTGGATGGGAGGGTCCCGGGTTCGATTCTGGTTAAGGGCACATTTTTGAGTTGCTGGCTCGATCCCCAATAAGGGATCATTGATGTTTGTATCCCCCTTTCCCTTCCTCTCTGAAATGAATAAAAAAATATTTAAAAAATAAATAAAAAGAAAATAAACTACAAAGGAAAAGATTTCACAATGTAAATATTTTAAGTTCAAAATCATCAAAAGTCAAGCAAAAGGGGAAAAAAATACTAAGAAACATTTGCAACAAATTTGACACCACCACCACCACCACCCATTATCCTAAAATATATATTGGAGACCCATCTGAAGCGATAAAACATTGAGATTTTTCTAGATACCTGGACAAAGGCTTTTATTCGATCCTTATCACAAACTTTTTTGATGTTTTAAAGAATAAAGATGAAACAGCGAAAGTTTGGTGGAATTAAGTCCTAAAGATTGTTTTCTAAACTTCATTTTGAACACATTTTTCAACACAACGTGGGTTCAAATCTAGTTTTTCTTGGAGTGTGAGCAGGTCTTCACAGTCAATGTATTTATGGCCTGGGTAATTTATAAAGACACTGATTTCAACCACAGGTTCTGACATACTCCTAAGATGATACTGGAAGAACACCTGTAAAGACAACAGAAGTGCCTCAAAACATGGTACTCTGGCCACTTAGGACTAAAGAGGGCCCTTTGCCCACTCTCTGAGAGAAGTCTGGATCTATTTAATACTGTGGGTGTCGGTAGAAGCCTCATCTCCTTTCTATCCACAGGGACCATTAGCCACATTCGATTCCATGTACAGGATAAAATGAAGATTAGGGGCAGACTGGGTTGGTAGACCATTAGAATGAAACCTAGTGGAGGTGGGGATGGAGGTGGAAGAGTGTCTCCCATATACAAAATATTTTATTGCATTGCCCATAAGTGCTCAATGAAAGCTGTCCACTTTTAGTTCTTTGAGGACTAAAGTTGAGCTGCAGGCCTCAGAGGAATTCTGTCTCAGATATGTAGGATTAACTGAACAAAAGATGTCTCACTGGGATACGCTGACAAACACACTCGGTGTGAACAAACGGGCAGAAGAGGCACCCAAGGCCTGGGTGGGACCAGATGCTTTCCCATTAAGTCCTGACTGTGTAGTAGTAGAATCCAGGGGCTGGGGAGAGGAGAGGCACCAGCCAGGTGTGATGAATCAATGAAACAAACCCAGGCCTTGGAGATGGACGGTTCACACTTCACCTCTCTGTCCCACCACATTCCAAATGTGTGGACTTAAACAAGTTACTTCATATTTTTAAACTTGTTCCCTATTTGTAAAATGGGGAAATCCATACTGTATTTTTTATTAAAAGATGCATCATCAATTTATTAGTTTTATACAAAACAGGACAAACCATGTGCACATCAAATGCAAGACCAAATTTAATTTTAAACGTGTTGAATGTAGACAAAAATTCTCCTTAGAAGTCAAGAAATACCACAATTATTTTTCAGGCTTTTTGTGAGGACTAAATCTTACAAAGGAAGAGCTCTTGACAGTTCCTGGCACAGAGTAAGCTCGGAAATGGTAGATATTAATCTAATAATGTGTGTCACGTGCTTTAAATGCCAAGTAGGTAATGTTATCCCTACTTTGCAGGTGTAGAGACTAGGAGAACTCAAGGATCCTGCTGGATTTTTCTCAGTCATAACTGGGGGAAAGCCCCAGGTCTGTCAGACTGTCTATCACACAGTCTGAGAGCCACAGAGCTGGGCAAGGCCCTGCTGGATGGATCATCAACCACAGGAATTGGATTGAGTCACATGCTAATTAGCAAAAAGTTTTTGTGTTCCTTGGGGCTACAGAGAGATCTCCGCAACCAAATGAATAAAACAGCCGTGGGCAAACTACAGCCCGCGGGCCGGATCCGGCCAGTTTGAAATGAATAAAACTATTGAAAAAAAAGACCATACCCTTTTATGTAATGATGTTTACTTTGAATTTATATTAGTTCACACAAACACTCCATCCATGCTTTTGTTCCGGCCGGCCCTCCGGTCCAGTTTAAGAACCCATTGTGGCCCTCGAGTCAAAAAGTTTGCCCACCCCTGGAATAAAAGGTTTCTTTACCAGATAGCCAGTATTTAAGGTTCTGTATTTTCCCCTTCCCATCTCTTCCAAATAGGGCCTGGAGGAAATAGGGCCCAGCATGTTGGGACACCCTATTCCTGGGTTACATGAAGACTTTCCCACGGGTACACTGGCATAGATAGTTTTAGAGGAATAGGTTTCCAGAGCCTCAGCCTCTACACTCACCCTTTCTAAAACAGTCTGGGAAGTTTGCTTATATGCACAATAGTTTCTCTGCTTTGCAAACAGAAGGCAATGCCCTCACCCACCCCAAAGTGCTTACTAAAGTGCATTGCCCCCAGAGTGGAAACACCTCGAGGACACCCAACAAAGAGAAGCTCCTTTAGTGATTAGCCCAGGGACTATAACCCCAGGGATTTCTTTCCTCCACTACCTTTTTGTTAACGGTTGGAATGTTCTGAATTTACAACAACTGAAGCAGCATAAGTTAGTGCAGCAGATTCCCAACATTTTGATCTCAAAATTATTTTGCACTCTTTTTTTCCCCCTAAGCCAAATAAGAACCTAAAAAGATAGTTTTTTTTTTTTTATTGAGGTATAATTGACACATAACATTATATTGGTTTCAGATGCACAACGTGATGACTTGATATTTAAATATAAGAATTTTACACTTTTAAAAATTATTAAGGACTCTAAAGAGCCCTTACTTATGTGGGTTATTTTGTCCATATTTAGTGTGTTTGAAATAAAAACTGCAAAGCCCCTCACATTAGTTAATATATTTTAGGCAAAATAACTACTTTACAAAGTTGAAAATATTTAGTGAGAATAGCATATTTTTTACTAGTGGCCCAGTGCACTGATTTGTGCACATTGAAAGGAAATTAATTAGAAGAAACATTTTAATATTGCTATTCGCCCTTTCCCTATAATAAAAGTGTCAACCAAATTCACAATCAATAATGACAGATCAAAACACATACTTGTGATTGGCACCAGTGAGAGCTTTATATGTATCACACATGCGCAAAGCAACTTAGCCTTTTATATATATAGAATAAACTTGCTTAATTAGACCTGCTTTCTGATTTAGCTAAACTTTTTCCAGCCCAGTGAAGCATTCCAACTTCTCTTTCAGGTAATTGTCAGCAACACAGCTGTAAATATCAACACGAAGCAGATTATTATTGTAGATCACGCAGGGAGAACAAAGGGTAAAATATTTAACTGCAGCGGTGTTTGACTATATTCTGAGCAGTGAGAAAACCTGAAGTCATTTTCAAGGTCCACCATTTCTTACTTATTTTCAGTTGGGTCAATTTTCTAAACTTTCTAAATCTCCATTTTCCAGCCATGAAAAGAAAATAGGTTCCATTGAGTCTCCTATCTACCTACTCCAGGACTTCTGTGAGGATCAAATGAGATGAGGCAGGGAAAAACATTTCACAGACATTTGGTTAAAGTGTGAAATGTTTCCACCTGGCTATAAAGCAAGTTGTGTTCTTGGGCTGAAGAAACTGCAAGGAGGCTAGTTGTCACTAGGGAGAGGAAGCTGGATGTTGCTATGTGATGCCATTACCCAAATGGACACTTAGCATATT